TTCTGAGAAAACTTAGTCACTTCTTTCGGCTCGATTTTCTGCCACTCTTAGGTCACAGCGCAGAGGAGAAAGCTGCCTGAGGAAAGTCGTCCATCACCCTATGATGGACAAGAGGGAGGAAAAATATACATTCATCTATTTCCAATGTGTGTGTGGGGGGAGAGACATCTGTTTCCCTTCTAGGAAACATTTCTCCCACAGAACAACCAAAACACAGCCGGCAGGGCTCATGGGCTCGGCTGCCAGCCGGGTCCTGCAGTTGGGATGCCGAATTAGTGGTGGCGGAGTCTCCACAGCAGGGGGCGGCCCCGGACAAGCCTTCACTGCAAAACACCGGCCTCCTCCTCACTTCCTGCCAGAAACCAGATTCACACTCAGAAAATTCGCAGTGGTTCTCGCAGTGGATTTTAGCATCCTACAGAAAAAGAGTCGCGTTTACTCATTCCGTAAATAATCCCTCTCTCGGCCGAGCGCGCATCATCTCACTGACATTCTCTCTTGCACATTTGTCTCAGGGGCAGCCAGGGTCAGGCGTGGTGGTTCAGACCTGGGCTCCACCAGCTGGTGCCCACCGCGGCCAGGACACCAACCGGGAAGATTTCTGGAAAGCTAACCTAGAAAGCTAGACTTAGACAGCATCTAATGAGCCATTCATACTGAGCAAAGACCATCGCTGTGCACTTACACCCACTAAGATCCTTTCTTGTCTGACACGCACAGATCTAAGAGGGAAGTTCCCAGTACAAGAGATTTGGGTTCCAGGCCCTTTTCCGTGAGTTCTCTTCAACCTCGTCACCTCCTTTCTCCTCTCTGCGGGCCCAGTGAAGCCTGTGCAGGGACCTGAGCCAATGTCCTCGCTTAGCTTCCCTCCTGAGACTGGTTCGTTGGCCACTGAGAATGCATTAAATCCCTCCCACAGGGCAGGTACCCAGGGCATGGGTGCTGCCTGTGGCAAATAATGGACAGCTGTTGGCCCCAAATTTTCCTCCTTCCCGGACAGTCATCCCTCACTATCCGCTGGGAATTGGTTCCAAAATCCGAAGTTGCTCCAGTCTCGTATATGAAATGGCCTAGTATTCGCATATAACCTAAGAACGTCCTCCCTTCCGCTTTAAATCATCTCTAGATGACTCATAACTCCTAATACGATATAAATGCTATGTAAATAATTGTAAATACAATGTAAATGCTATGTAAATAGTTGCCTGCATGCAACAAATTCAAGTGTTGCTTTTTGGAACTTTCTGGATTTTTTTTTTTTTTAATTTTAGATGCATGGTTGGTTGAATTCAATCCATCCACAGATGCAGAGGGCCAGCTGTATAACTAGGCCACCCTTCACAGCCTTCCAAGCAGTCAGGACCGAGTTCTAGCCAGGTGTGCCCTGTGCCCTCTCCAGACCTGGCCTTGGAACCAGTCTGGTCTCTTCCACAGCAGACAGAAGATGGTAGAGCCTAGGATGGAAGGACCCCTGAGTCACCACACAGAGGAAAGCTGCCCATCAATCAGAAAACTTGGCTCTGTACTTTACGAAACTTCTGTGTTAAATGTTTAAGACTGGGATGACCTGTTGCAGCAGCTACAATTACCTTAACTCCTGCTGCCTCTACCTTGGACATTGGGTGACTCAATAACACTCTGTGGGAGGAACACAAGCCCGTGAACCATCTTGCATTCACCCAGCGTGCCAAAGATGCAGAGAGGAAGACCAAAATCTTGGAAAGAAGGATGATAGGCACACGATTTTCGCCGTTTTATACCTTTTGGATACAGTCTGAGATTTTTTTCCCCTCCCCTTAGATGACTAGAAAAGATCTTCAGGACTTCCCTGGTGGTGCAGTGGTTAAGTGCCTGCCAATGCAGGGGACATGGGTTCGAGCCCTGGGCTGGGAAGATCCCACATGCCACGGAGTAACTAAGCCCGTGTGCCACAACTACTGAGCCTGCGCTCTAGAGCCTGTGAGCCACAACTACTGAAGCCCCCGCGACTAGGGCCCGTGCTCCACAACAAGAGAAGCCACCACAGTGAGAAGCCCGCGCACCGCAACGAAGAGTAGCCCCGGCTCCCCACAACTAGAGAAAGCCCGCGCACAGCAACAAAGACCCAACGCAGCCAAAAATAAATAAATAAATAATTATTTTTAAAAAAGAAAGAAAAGATCTTCAAAGGCTTCAAAACCTAAGTTCTGAACCAGGGGAGAGGTACAGTGGCCTGTGAGAGCAAAGAGAAGAGGAGGGTCACCCCCTGTGCATGTTCTGACAAGGTGGCCACCATCATGCCAACACCGCCAACCACGCTCCAGAATGCTGGAAGCCTCTTCTGCAACCTTGCTCTCACAGTGAGGGGTCACAGCAGATGACCCCACGTCTGTCCACGCAGCCTCTGCCATCTCTCAGCAGAGTGGGAAGCTGGTGAGTCGTCCTCATCGCCCCCTTTCATGAGGTCCGCATCTCTCTTCCATGGCAGCTCTCCCCGGGACATGCAGGTCTCTCCTGTTCTGACCATTTTCATTTACGGAAACCTGTGCTCAGGCAGGTAGAGGATGGACAGGCCTGATAAACCAGCCCCTATTGAGGTTAAAAGGACACCCATCACTGGTGGATTCCTAACCATGTAAGAACACTAAGGAATCATCTAGTCTGGGCCCTTATCCCTTAGAGAAGGAAACTGAGGCCCAAAGGAAGGGAGTGACCTGCCAAGAAATGATGCACATGGGGGCAGAACCCGCATGTCTTATCCTTGATTCCACACCTCTCCCCCTCTCTTGGCCTCCATCACTCTGAATGGATTTTACAGTTTTCCATGGAAAAAACTTCAAGGCTCTGATCCTCTGATAGTGGGATTTGGGACATCAGCAGAGAGGCCAAAGCAGCCCTTCCCAGTGCCACACAAACACAGGCACCATCTGTAAACCCAAACCCAAGCATGGACTCATAAGACTCATAGGAGAACAGGGCCCAGTATTCTCTGGGGCCATGGCTGGGAGGGAGTCCCCACTCAGCCTTCACCACCTTCCTTTCCTAGCTGTCATCTGGGAGCCCTGCGTGGGCACACCTACCAATATTTGTTAATTTGATTTCCTTTCTTCATTCAACATTATCAAGACTCACATTGGGGTATTGAGGGGCCTATGGAACTTATTTTTAAAATAGCAATGAAGCCTCTAGAGAATTCTTATGTCTTTAAGACTGTGGCCAAACTTGGAACTCCACCAGAACTGCATGCTGCAAGGGACAAGAACCAGATTTGGCCCTGAATACTTCAGGAATATCAAGCACAAAAAACACACTTACTGAGCACTTGCTATGTGCCAGACATCAATCAAAACACTGAAGGAAAGGGGTCTGAGTCATGGTTCGCGGTTATCGATGGATCGAGGAGCAATTGAGAGAGACAGAGACAGAGAGTGGGAGAGAGATTTACTGCAGGGGTTAAAAGCAGGTACATTCGGGCTTCCCTGGTGGCGCAGTGGTTGAGAGTCCGCCTGCCGATGCAGGGGTCGCGGGTTTGTGCCCCGGTCTGGGAAGATCCCACATGCCGCGGAGCGGCTGGGCCCGTGAGCCATGGCCGCTGAGCCTGCGCGTCCGGAGCCTGTGCTCCGCAACGGGAGAGGCCACAGCAGTGAGAGGCCCGCATACCGCAAAAAACCAACCAAACAAACAAAAAAACAGGTACATTCATCCAAAAACAATATTGGATGATTTTTTAAAAAGTTTTAACCAATGGCTTTGACACTCTAGATAGTTCAAGGAGGATGTCATTCCCCATCCCGGCTGTTATTTCACTGTCAAAGTCATCTTTAGAACAGTTAAAAGTGCCCACTGGTTCCCTGGGTGCCTTGGTTCACTTTTTTTTTTTTTTTTTACTATTTGCTGGCGTGGAGGGCAGTTCCTCTTCCTCAGCGTCGGGGGTTTGGGGACCAGAGGTTCTTCATCCGTTCTGGGGGGACACCCAGTGGCTCTTCCTTGCCGGAAGAGGAGCAGGCTTGCCCCGTCTTTCTGCTGCACTGTGTCTTCCGCGTGGCAGCTGACAGTAGCACGGAAGCTCTAGCAGACTCACGCTCCAACTGGACAGCACCTGGACCGGAACCAGGGCGAGCGAAGAGCAGAGGGGCTCCCCTGAGAGGTGAGACTGCTGTGTCTCTAGGGTACCCACCCCCCACCCCCGGAGCATCGGCACAGACCTCAAGGCTGGAACACCCGCAGCATTCCTCATCTGCTTCCCTGGGACACGAAGACCCTCAGGGCAGCCCGAACTGTATGACTGTCTCAAGGACACAGAGCCGGGACTGGAAGCCATGTGGCAACTCTAGGCCTGTCAGCAGCCAGAGTGCCCCGCTCTGCTCAGTGAGGACAGCCACCCAGCCAACAGCCCAGCGACACTAAAGCAAGCCAGCGGCCACCCTTCATCCTGTGCACCTCACACCCACATGCAATAAGAACCCAAGATGCCCCCCAAAAGACCCCAAAGCTTTTAGTCATATTTCCTGCATTTGTGGTTTCTCCTTTAACACAGTGAAGCAGGAAGTGTGATATGGCAACGCAATCAGCATTAATTTTATTAAAGGGGTTTGGAGAAGTTAAACTAATATCCCTCTATGGATGACGTGCATAACAGATGCCCTTTTTGGCTAAGCAGAAAAACAAACTAAAACAAACAACAACAAACCGTCAAAATAATCCACCCGAAAACATTAAAATATTCATGAGCTCTGTAAATCCAAAGAACATGCTTTTCAAGCCCATACTTCGGTAAAATAAGACAACAGGACTAGAGTACGACAAACTTATGGACCTGATGCTCGCCGGTTAATCCTTGGAGCTTCCATCCGCATTTGCACGCCAAGTGCAGGGTTCCGCAGAAGGCTTCATCTAAATTAAATCCCTGCTGCGCTGCACCGGAGCCTCTCGGGAAGTCGGTCTGTCCCGCCAGCTCACCTTTCTGCAGGTCGATGTTCTGGGTCCTGGTCGCCGCGCTCCCGGGGCGGGACGCCGGCCGCTCACACCCACTCGGACTTGCTGGGGCCCGGGAGCGCGGCGCTTGGCCCGCGGGAGCGCTCCTCCCACCCCGGGGCCGCCGCTCCCGGCCCGGCCCCGCGCGGCTGGTCGCTGGCTGAGGACAGCGCGTCGCTCTCGTCCTCCCCTGGCAGCTCCGGGTGCCCTGGCTCGGTGGGCTCCGCTGCGGGGCTGTACGCGCCCTGCCCCCCAGTCCGCAGGCCCCGGCGAGCGCGCGCCCCACGTCCCTCGGGCGCCCCGGGTCCCTCCCGCGCCGCACTCCCCGCCCCTTGACACGGCCTCCTCCGGGCCCCGCCGTGTCGCCTGCGCGTCTCCCAGCGCACGCTGCAGACCAGGTCGGCGACACTGAGTAACAAGGACAGTGCGCAGACCGCCCAGACGAAAAGCATCAGGATGGACTTCTCCGTGGGCCGAGAGACGTAACAGTCCACCACGCTGGTGCAAGGAGGGTGCGTGCACGAGAATCTCTTGGGGACCAAGAATCCAAAGAGGAGGTAATGCAGGGCTCCGAAAGCTGCCTCCGTCAGGGTCCGGAGGCAGAGGTGGACCACGTAGCCCGAGGAGAAGTCCGGCACCGTCAGGCAGCGCCTGGCCCCCGGGGTCAGTTCAGGGCCGTCGTGGTCCTCTGAGTCATCATCCAGCCAGCGGGATCCACGTGCCGCCAGCTCGGCTCCTTTGTGCAGCACGTAGACACTGAAGACGGCGGATGGAAGCAGAACAGACACGCTCTGGATCAGCCAGAACCGCAGGTGGGACACGGGGGCGAAGATGTCGTAGCAAACGTTGGCGCATCCGGGCTGCAGCGTATTGCACACGAACCTCTCCTGCTCATCCTGGTAGACCGGCGACCCGGCCAGGATGAGCACCCCCATCCTCAGCAGCACCATGAAGATAAGCCAGATCTTCCCTGGAAAGAGGAAACAGGAAGGGCGCCATCACAGCCATACAAACACAGCTCCTCCTCCCAGCAACAGTTTTAAATCTTTACTGGTGCTGAGCCTGGAGAACCAAGTGTGTAAGCATGTGTTTTAGTCACAGCAACAGTATCAGCCTGTTAGCTCATGGGACGAATGTCTAATGAGCACTTACAAGGTGTCAGACATTGTGTTCAACTAGGCACACCTCGGAGATACTGCGGGTTCAGGTCCAGACCACCCCCAAAAAGCGAGTCACACGGATCTTTTGGTTTCCCAGTGCATATAAAATCTATGTTTCCACTATAACTTGGTCTGTTAAGCGTGCAATAGCATAATGATAAAAAACAATGCACATGCCTTAAGTAAAAAATACTTCGTTGCTAAAAATGGCTAACCATCCTCTGAGCCTTCAGCCACTGGTGGTAGTAACATCAAAGATCACTGATCACAGCTCATCAGAATAAATATAATAACAATGAAAAAGTTGGAAATATTGTGAGAATTACCAAAATGTGACACACAGACATGAAGTGAGCAAATGCTGTAGGAAAAATGGCGCCAATAGACTTGCTTGAGGCAGGGTTGCCACAAACCTTCAACTGTTAAAAAAAAAAAAATGCAGTATCTGAGAAGCACCGTAGAACGAGGTATGCCTGTACGTGTTTGTAAAATGCTTTGAAATTGGCAGATTTAAAGAAGCATGGATACTAAAATGTTTAATCTAGTTCGGCTAGTTCAGAGTTTGGGCTGAAAGTTCTAGAAAGAAAATTGGGCGGATGTAAGTAAAGTCTTCCTCTTAAAAAGAGTGAACTTTTTCAAGGATGTTAGTGCATTCCTGTAAGTGTGTATAGCAAATACAAGCTGCTAATTTCAGTGAGTTTTCTCTATGGTAAGAGTCCACACGATCTTTATGTAATCGGTGGGCTCTGTAGCCCTTTCATGTTGCTCTGTAGCCCTTGAAATCGAATTTCTTGAAGAACATTCAGTTTTTTAGACCTTCAATAATTCAGAACTCCTTCCCCCCATTCCAGCTATTATGAATTGAAGTTTGTCTTTCTTCAATTTATCATGAATAAATGAGGCTAACATAGAAATCAAAATAACTTCCAAGTCCTATTTTCATTTCATGAGTCAACTATTTTGGAGTGTGTTGAAGACCCAGTCAAAATAATCTGTAAATATTCTGTTTTGTGATGAGATACAGAGATCATCACCTGACATCAGAAAAACTAAACTCTCTCATAAATGAAGGCAGTTCAACTCAAGGACTGAGTGACCATTACGTGATAAAGTCATTAACTCAAACTTTTAAAACCAAGTTGGCTTCGTCTAAAAAGCAATGAAGAAGAAAAATACCAACAAATTCACAGACATATTTTAATCCTTTTCTCAATCCCCTTTACTAGGATACCCATACCTCTCTGAAAATTTAACTCGGCTACACCAAACTCAGAAAACGTATTACTTTGTCAAAAAAATAAAAACTAAACTAAAATTGGGATTTGGTTTAAAGTGCACAGAGAACTTACTAATCTTTACAAATGGAGCTTCAAGGATAAACCCTAAAAAGATGAACAAGAAAGCTTACTCAAGGCATGAATTTCTCTAACTTTGACTGTATTGTTCCTTTTCCTGGTAACGTAGCCAGAGAAGAGTTACACAAAAATACCCCTCCCATCTGCTCAGCCCCCGAATGTCAGCAAAAAGACTCCCCTTGAGAGAAACATCGCTAACTCCCAAGACATCCTTAAAGGATGGGGGAGCCTCCTTAAATAATGGAGAATTAGAGGAAAGCTTGAGCCCTGGTTCCCTGTCCTCCAGGGACAGGCAGGCCTTACTCATGGGGGAGGACAAGGAAAAGTGACCCAAGGCAGAACCAGTGTTCTGCAGGGGTTGGCGCTACTCACCCACCATGGTCACGTTGCAGTTTAGGGTGATGACGAGGAACCCCAGCAGGTCCAGCTGGTCCATGCTTTCAGGGGGTCACAGACTCAAGGTGGCTGGAGACTTCCGGAGCCTGTGTTCTCCAAGGAGGTGGGAAATCTTTGCAGGAAAAAATGTATCTTAGCTACAAAAGACTCCCAGGTGAGAGCTGGAGATACTAAAGGGAAGATTCAAGCCCAGGAGCACAAGGTCATTCTTCTGTCTCCAGTTGAGACGGTCCCGAGCTGTGTGAGGCAAAGCCTTCCTGACAACTGCAGTGACCAGAGGCCAGAAGCAGCCGTCTCTCATTGTGGCTATTCTTACCCTCTTGGGACATTCCAGGCCCTTGGCAGTGCTCACGTGTCTCCACCAGGAGAGCTGATGCTTCAGGATATAAGAGAAGCGATGACGTTCATCCCAAGAAAGAAAAGCTCTGTTAACCAGCCAAGTCTCTATTAAAAAGGCGTTTCCTCCTTGAAAACATTTCCACACCCACTTCTTCACTGCTTACAGAAGTGCTAAAATGTCCATATTTCGTCTCTTCTATGAAGCATAATCCACCATAACTCGAGCCCCAAAGGATCTTGTCCTCAACTCTGAATTCCTATACCATGGGTGCCAGCAGG